GACTCAACAGGGAGGCCTGAGCTGGTGGACTCAGAACCCACGACAACTAGGTCAATGTTCATGAATATAAGTGACCTGGACACACTGAGAGACATGGTGACCCAAGTGGCTTTGGAATGCAATTTCTGAAAAATTCAAACTGACCAAGATAAATTTATTCTGCTCCTCTTTGAAGAATAATGAGATGTTTTCTTTTCTTTTCATTCAGTGAATGTGTGTGTGTGTGTGTGTGTGTGTGTGTGTTTGTGTGTGGTAAAGGAAACATGGTGCTTCGGTGAAAAGGGCTCTGAGATGTTCAGGAGATTCTAGTCCTGGCTGTCCCGGGATCTCACTTTGTGATTGATTTTGGACAAGTTTATTACTCTCTGTCTCTTACTCTCCCTGGGCATGGAATTATATGTTGGCAATGACTTCCAGCACTTTAAGGCTCTTCTTTTCTGCTTTGAGTGCTACTGAGAAGTCTGGGGTGTTGCCTGGGCCCCATCTCGCTCATGGACCCTGACCTCCAGTTTGTCTACCAAGCAGCCGTGAGGCTGCAGAAAGCACGGTCAGTTCCCAATCTCTTCTGGTTTCCCCTTTCATTGGCTTCTCATCATAAAACAAGAACGGTGGACTCTTGGTCCATCCATCCGTTCAATTTTTATAAAGTACCTACTATGTGTTGGGCACTATTTTAGATGAAATAGACAGCCAGAGTCCTTGTTTTCCTTTTATGATTTCTGCATGTGATTTGTATGAGTTCATCTAGTGCTTGGGGGTTTTTTTTGTTTGTTGTTTTTCCCTTTAGAAACATCTTTCAGTTGGACTCAGAGTTTAGAGGACAAAAATGAATCTTAGATCTATGATTCAGCAAGTTACCGTAGTTGTGATTTTTTTTGGCTCAAGGTCAGGTTCAGAGCCATCTCTTATTTTTATTTAATGCGGTTATTTTGTGTTCTGTTCTCCCAGATTTGCCTTTCTAATTAAATTTCCCCCAGATATATGGGAAAATGAGTTTTCCCTCCTTCGTTGCTCTGAGGAGGGGGAAAGGACTTGTATAATAAGCCTGCTGGGCGTGGGGAGAAGGGATTGCAGCTGATAGTAAGTAGGATGAATCATGCATACATAAATAATAGGAACAGACCACCCTGGAGCTGGGAGGCCTGGATTGCATATTTAAAAAATATACATGTGTTAGGGAGAGTGCATCATTTCTGCAAGAACCTAAGAAATGACCTTTACCCTTCTGCAAGATATTTATCTCCCTGAGGCCCTGGGGTTGCCAGGAGTGAGATAGACATGTGGATAGGACAATCTTCTCTCTTTATATCTTAGTTTGATGTTCTCTACTATATTAGTCAACAGAAATCTATTATGGAATCTTTTTTTAAAATCTTTTATTTTTTTGTATACTTTGTATTTTTCCAAGTTTCCACAATGAATGGGTATTCCTTTTATAATCAGAGAAACAAAATAGAATTTAAAAATAGTGGAATTTTAAAATAATATTTATAATCTGGACATTGTGGTGGGCACAATGGAAATGTTTTGTGTGGATGTATAAATTTCATTGTAAGGCAGGACTACAGGCAGCACAGGCCTTTGTAACTTAGAACATGGTACAAATAAACCACTCCACCCACCCCCATCCCCTAGAGGACTCCGTGGTATTGTCATCTGTAACAGATGACAATACTCATCTCTATCCTACACTCTTTTTCTCCCCATATGGCAAAGTCCCTTTATGTGCAGGGCCAGTAGCCCATTGTTTCTCTAAGTCTGCAGTGCAGGACAAAGGAGGCTGTGCAAATATTTGTACAATTTTTGCTTAATGAATTGAAACTGAATTGAAGATGGGCACCTGCTCCTAGCTGCTCACGGTCTAGGCTGGGATTACTTGTGTAAAATGGCAGCAAAGCTGCCTAGCAGAATATTTATGACTTGGTTGAGCCATGGACTATTTTTATAAGATGGATGGGCTCAGCTTTCAATGAATTTTGAGGGTTTTGCTGGTGGCCGAGATGTGAGTGTTGAAAGGACAAAGGAACAGGCTGGGGAGAGGAGGGAGAGGAAAGTTCTGAGCACACAGCACTGCACTTTTTTATTTCTGCTCTGTTTACAGCCATTGATGGGCATGGCTTGCTCTTCTGTCAGATGAATAATGATGATGATAGTTGCTATTTTGCAAGAACTGAGGTGCCAGGCACTGTGCAAGGGGCTTGCACTAGTCAGGACGCTCTTGGTTGCAAGTGACAGGAGAATTCAATTGTTATTTGCTTGGGGAAAAGTGGGGGATTTATTGGAAAGTGTACTTGAAAAATCCAGCGGTATATTGCTTTTAAGCATGGCAGAAACCTGCCTTTTTCTCCACTTTGCTTTCCTCTGTCAGCTACAATCTCTGGCACAGTCTCTCCAGGTGCTGGCCAGATGGTCACCAGCTGTTTCAGGGTGACTTCGTACCTCTTCATCACAGTGAAAAGAGATTTAACGGGAGTAATGGTCTCTTGAGTAGATGGAGTCTTGAATATATATGGGGAGGTATATAGTTCCCATAGATGTTTTCTCTGTAGGAAGTTTTTCTTTTTCCTTCCCTGTAGCCTCTTCCTCCTTTAAGGCCCAGGTGGTACCACTCAAACCCAAAGTCCACAGGGAGAAAGGGGGACGCCTTCTCCAGAAAGGAAGATGGCGTAGAAGTCCTCAGGCAATAGGGAAAATGAGGGAAAGAAACTGGAGGGGATGAGTCTAGGAAGAGTATGATACCTGGTCTTGACCTAGGGAGGGGGTGGTGCAAAGACAGAAATCCCAGACAGGTTGAGGGGAAGCTGTCAGCAGAGGGGGACTGTGCCCCACAGGATGCCCTGTGCTATCACAGGAGGGCTGCAGCAAAGGGAAGTGCTGGTGTGGCAAATTTTGCAGAGAAATAGTTAGAGATGGTGCCCCTGAGTCACCTTTAGTTCCCTTGTGACAGGAAGAGGATCCAGGAGTGCCCACATGTTCCCCATGGGGGCTGAGAAAGTGGTGGAGAGAAAGGGAGCCAGCCCACCATTGAGTTACGGTGGCTGGGAGAACAGCATGGCCAGGTGGCCCAATCCTGCCAAACAGAGCCAGGCCCAAGGCTTGGTGGAACGGCTGGCAAAGAGAGGCGGTTTTTCTGCTGGAATTAGAGGAGGACGATTGCAAGCCTGGATCTGCTGGGATCTCTCCGGGGCCTGGAAGCGCAGCAAATGCGGAAAACAGCAAAGATGAGATGGTGAGTCCTGGAGGGCCTGGCACTAAATCCAGGCCTGAAGCAGACCTGCCCTAGCTTTTCATTTGCATAAGCCAATCAATTCTTCTGTTTAAACTAGCCTGAATCGGGTTGTCTGTCTTTTACAGCAGAAAGCCCCTGACTAACCCGTGCAGGAAAGCGGGAGACCGCATGAGCTTGGCGGCAGAGCCTGGAATCAGTGAGAGGACAGTAAGGAGGAGAGGGCAGAGGGACGGGGAGAAAGGTTAAGGAGGGGTGTGGGCTGTAGAGGCCCTCAGGGGCCAGGTTGGAGAGTTTGGGGTGATGCTCAAGGGGACAGTGAAAAGAATTTGTGCTCATGGATCAGGAGAGGCTGCGTCAATGTTCTGGGAAGTGGGAAGACTGAGGACAGCGTTGCATCCCGGGAGCACGGGGAGAAGGGCAGGTTAGCAGACGCCCCACGCAGGCACTGACGGGCCATTAAGCTTGCTGGTAACTAAGGCGTCCCCAGTGGCTGAGAGAATGACGAGACACGGGGTAAATGGAGTTGGGAGCTGGGAAGAGGCAGAATTTGGTGCTGGCCGTGGTAATTTGAGGTGGAAAGTTCTAAACAGAAAACTGGAGAGTAGGAGGAAATGTGGGTAAAATATCTGGGTCAAGCGCGTGGATTGGAGAACCATCAATAAAGGAATGAAATAAGTGATGAGCTCTTCTAGAGAAGGTACACCTCAGAGGTAAATAGTAGCAAATCCCGGGTTCTCTTTGGCCCAAGGGCAGTTGTGCTGGGGCACACAAGGGTCTGTGGACCTCGGACTGACAGCAAAGGCCTGGCCATGGCTGTAGGTCAGATCACGTCCCACAGAGAAATTCTGCAGGAATCCCCACCAGCCAGAGCCGGACATTTTCAAGAAATGCCCCACAACATGGGGTCGAACCAAGCACAACCGCGCGCCCAGGAGATGCCCACCAGGGTGTTACAGATGCCGGTCCAGCGCTCCGCGGCCGGAAGGGTGGAGAGGGAGGCTGCGGGGCCGCGACCTCAGCAGGGTGCCTGCAGGCCGCTGGAGACCGGGGCAGCAAGGACTGGGGTTGACACAGGGCCGGATGTGGTCTGAGCCGGAAGAGAGGCGTGGGGCAGGCTGAAGGGGCGGGGCGGCACGGTGGCGAGAGCCCGAGAATTGTGACAGTTTGGGTCCACGTGGCAGCCGGCGGAACCCAAACACGCGCGCCCACCCTGGCGCCAGGATCGGCAGCGCCAGGCAGGCACATGGACCCCGAGCGCCCCCACCAGGGCCCCGGGCCGGGCCAGGTCTGTGGACCCGGCCTTGGCCCGCGTCCGCGCCGCCCCCGGTCCCCGGTCCCCGGTCCCCGGTCGGGCATTGTGAGGCGCTCGCCGGCCCTGCGCGTCAGAGCCCGAGGTGCCCGCGCGCTCGGCTGCGTGTGCCATGGCTTTGGCACGCCGCGGTCTCCGCAAACTAGCCGCGAGCGTGGCCTCCCAGAGGCAGCGTCCCCTCGGCAAACCGCCAACCCCGCGCCCAGGGCCCCGGCAGGACAGCACCGCAACACCGCCTCGGGGGCGGAGCTCCAGGGCGCCCGGCGCGGGGCGGGCCGGGACCCGAGTGCGGCGGGGTCGGCAGGGGGCGCTGCGGGACCCCGCGCTGGCGGCGGCCGGTGCGCGCCGCCCTCGCCTCCCCTCGCGCCGGGAGGAGCCGGCGGCGAGCGCCGAGCGCTGCGCGCAGCGGCGGAGCTGGGGCTGGGAAGGGACCGCGGGCGGTGAGTGCGGCGCGGGCCGGAGCCGGGGCGGTTGCCGTTGGGTTTGAGCAGCGCGGAAGCGGGAGGCGGGCGGGCGTCCAGGCTCCGGGGTTGGGAAACTGAGCGGTTCCCCCCAGCACGCCAGTGGGACAGGGGTGAGGAGGCTGGGGCAAGCATCGGGTCCGAACCCAGCCGCTAAGCCCCCTCCTCCATCCCGGCCTGGCCGCAGACCCTGCCTAGCCCCACACTTGCGCCCCCACCAAGCCACTCCCCCGCGCGCCCAGTGTCCCAGCCCCGGCCCCCAACCCCTCTCCAAGCCCCTTCCCTGCAAATCGCCTGCTCTCTCCCCAAGCCCGCGCCCCGCGACTCTCGAGACCCCAGTGCCTCCTGCTTCTCCACCTCTCGCCCCGCGCCTCTGCTGCGGGGCCTCGTCCGCCTCGTCCCCGCCCCTCCAGCCTTCTCCCGCTCGGCCCCCGCACCCCTGCAGCCGGATTCCAGCCCCGATTCCAGCTCCCGGAATCCCCTTTCCCGGGCAGTCTCGAACCGGCCAGTCTCCAGGTAGGAAGGCGGCCGTAACTTCTCGGTGGCCTTTCCCGGGGGTGGGGCTGGCTCCTCTGGGCAGCTACCTGCCGCCCGGCGCCTCGCGGAGTCCCGGGCCGGCGGAGCGGCGGCCCCGCGCGCAGGTTAGCGTTCCTGGATGCTCAGGTTGGGACTGTGTGCTTTAGACCCCACGGCGTTGCTTTTGCGGGTGAACTTGCCTGCGTCTCGATCTTTTAAACGAGCTGCCTTTGTCATACGCACAGAAATGGATTTGCTTGGCGGTTGCTTTCTTTGCGGCTGCAGCCGCCTTTCAAGTTGTACCTGTGGATAGCAAAGGATTAGCGGTGCAGGAGGACGTGGAGCCATATTCTCCCGCGTCAGCCGTGCGTTCAGCGGTTGCGAAGGGGCTTCGTGGGCAGTGAGTGTATCGCCGCCTGCGTGGCCAGTGTCTTCGTGGGAAGGCAACGGTGCTTTGTAAGCATTCAACAAGTAAGATCAGGAGAGACGTGGAATCAGATCGGACTGTGGATGGGGAAGTCTCAAGGGGTGGATGGCCAAGGGAGGATGGGGAGGGCAGCACACTTGGGGACATTTGTTGACATTTGCAGAAAGCCCTGGGATGGGGAGCAGGCAGTGCTGAGCCCACCTTTTCAAACGCGCTGTGACTGTGAACGGGCTTGGCAGCACCTTCTCGTCCTCAGAGGTATTGGCGCCCAGTCCAGACATCTGTGGGAAGAGGGCTTACAGCAGATGGCTTGAAAAGCCTCCCGGTCCCTGGAGATAGGTGGAGATGCACAGCCACAGCCTGGAAGCCAGTGTGTGAATCTGCCCTATCCCTTCCCCCGGCTTTCATTAAATCTTGGATTAAATTAATTGCCTATTTCAGAGAAAGGACATGTAGGACGAACTTCTCTTTGGGGGATTGGCTCCTGGCCAGCCCACCCTCACTGATGCCTGGGGAGGCTGCTTTGAGCACCCGTTTCAGGGTGGACCACCTGGCCTGTGGAGCACGGCATTCTGCGCATTTGTGGAATTGCAGTATCTGTAATTCTTTTTCTATTGATCGGCTTGAATAGTAATTAGCTCAGTGTTCTTTCACCATTGAATAGGTAAGTAATTAGCCCAAGGACACACTGGGGCTCAGTAAGGTCTTTCTGAGTGTCCACAGATTCCGTAGGCTTCTCCTCTGCCCTCACCCACTGCTTTGCGATGAGTGGCTGACTGTCAGATGCCCCACTGTCCAGGAGCATCTGCAGCGAGGGGTGGGACCACCTCTGGCCACAGCCCCTGCCTGGCACCCTTATGTGGTGGGTACTCCATGTTTGTGGAGTAAAGAAATGGAACCCCCTCTTGAATCAGTTTGAATCTACAACCCATGTTTTTCCATTTTGCTACACTATTTTCAAAATGTTACACTTAAATTTGACACATTTTAGAAAAACCATATAATCTCACTAGAGACACACTCATTTTTGGGTGTGTTTGGACAGAGAGCTCAATCTACAGGTCAGGCTCTGATGGCTGGTTTGTAACCTCAGTGGGAACTCGAGAATTCCATGAAGAAAATCTGTTGTCCTCATCCCAAAATTGGTATGGAAGTGATGGACACCCTGGGGAGCTACGAAAGCTGTCTGCTATGGGGTGAGTCCACCACAGCTTAACTGATAAGCTGTTATCAGATAAGGGCCCTGAGCAGTGGCCCCAGCCCTCAGTGGCATCTCCAAGGGAGATAGGGTGTCACTTGTAGAATTCCACTGGCCACTTCGAATTGCACCATCCTCACTCCAGGGGGTGCTGCCCACCCAGAAGCTGCTTCTGGTGGAGGGCTGGGATTGTCCCTTCTCGCACATTTCTTGCATTGTGGTTTGCAGCTCTATTGGGAGGAGGGGGCTGGTGTTTTGGGAGGTGCTTTGGTCTGTCAGAGATGGCTGTGACCCACTGGCAGATGGAGCAAAGTCTAGCTCTTCTGCTTTTGTCAAAGGTCAGCCAGAGGCTGAGGGGGTTACCCATGCCCCCTTTTTTTCAGGAATCTTGGATGTGCTAGGGCTAGAACTGAGAATGCCACTTGGATGTGGGAACCTGCACTGCCTCTGGCTGCCATGAGCTTATCTCTCTTCTCCAGACTGCCTCTGTCTTCAGATCTGGCTCTTCCTCAGAATTCCTGCAGCTGGTAAAGATCTGTTTTCTAGAAAAGGTTTAATTAGTGCCTGCAATCTGTGAGTGAGAAAGGGAGGGGAGGGAGAAAGAGAGATACTACTATCTGGAGGTGAGTAGGAGAAAGGATGGGAGAATATTCAAGGTCCTGAAAATTCAGGGAGAGATTTTGGCCCCAGCACCTATCCTGGGGCAAGATTCTTGGCTTGTAGATAAGGAAGTACACCCACATTCTGGAGTAGGGGTCCCCAGTTAGAAGAAAAGTCACCGAGATAGGAAAAATAGCACCCAGTAACCTGAAATTTTTAGGTTTGCTGAGCCTACCATTCTGAGTTCTAGAAGGCCTTGAAATCCAGCTGAGAGCTGGGCTTGGCAAGGTAGAAGGGCACCGAGCTGTTTTAAGATTCTGAATGAGGAATGTGCCATCTTTGGAAATGATGGCTTGAGCCAAGATTGGTCTGGGGTTTGGCCTAGGGGAGCCACATTATACCTGAGATGCTGAGGGGAGAGTCAGGGAAGTGACAAAAGGAGCAGCGGCTCAGAAGTTCTGTGCACCTGTACTTATTAGAGGGAAAAGAAGAAGAAATGGCCTTTTAGGAGAATGGTGGGCCTTTCAATACAAGCAGCCTCCCAGGGACTCTTGTTGAACCTGCTGCATGCCCTCATAGGTAGATTTGGCCGCTGGAGCCCTTCAACCTGGAGATAGTGCTGGGAACGAATGGCAGGGTCTGCTCTGGGTCCAAAGGGCTGAAGGCCCCAGTCACTTAACTGAGCCCCAAACTCCAGCCTAGCTACTCTCCACCCCCAGAACCTGCAGGAGGCTCTGATCCTTCTTGAACTTTGATTGAGGAAGCCATTGGCTTTTGGAAAAAGATCAGTCTCCATGAATAGAGGAACAATCCCAGGAACATGAGAAGTTAATGATTAAAAGACACGGAAAAAGAACCTGGAGGAGCCTTGCGGAGTAGTTCCTGCAGCCAGGAGGCAGTCATTGCCGCATGCCCTTGGCTGGGTCACCTGTGCATGCATGGGTTCATCCCACCACCCCTCACCCCCATCCTTCTGCACACCAGCAGTGCCCCCTCTTTTCTGGGTACTCTGGGGTGGAGGAGAGTTTGGGGAACTCAAACATCTAGTAGTGGAGACTGTAGGAATTTAAAAATTCTCTTCATATTTGCAGTCACTTCCCCAACTTACACATTCATGTTTCTGTTTACAAGGCATCCTTTTGTCCCCGGCTTGCTACCCTCTATGCCTCTGTGTGTGACCAGCTTCTTCAGGAAAGCTATAATCAATAGGATAGAAACCAGAGCTTTAAAAAACATACTAAAGATGAATATTATTGCACCTGATTTTAACACCTACACTCCCTCCTCTCTTCTTCTATTTGTGGTTAGAGCCATCATTTACACCAAATTTACAAATAGTTCAAATGCTATTATTTGTCCTGCCCCTCAGTTATTTGGAGACATGTGTCTTTCTAACCAACAAAACCATAGCTCATTTTCCTAGGCCTACCTCATTCTTGGATCCAACACCAATTTTCAGGCCTTCAGAGATACCACAATATCATTTTGAGCTTTTTCACTATAAAATGAAATGAAGCTCTTGCTTGCTAATTTTGTCATCTACAAATATAGGAGAATCTGAAGCTAGAATGAAACATTTACTGTCTTGTTAATTCTTTATGCTTCTAAAATGAAAGAGGCGGTTGGATTAGTAGAGAAAAGTTATTAAAGTTATAGTAGAAATGTTTAGAAGCTCAGAACTAATAGTGGCGGGATGAAAACTTACAGAAATACACTGTTAAGGTTTAAATGTAGTTACTAAAACAGATATCAATACGAACCTTCTTGAAAGTATAGACAAGTATACAAATTTTGACAAGTATAGATTAAGCATAGAAATTTTGATCCAAGTCATTTTATGCATTATGTTATTAGGATCATGTATTGTGTTTATACAGTACCTTACCATATAAATAGGCAACTATGTCCATGATCTCATCAAATCCTTCCAGCAAGTCTGGGATTTTCTTAGAAATGTGGAGAAGGGACCTTAGGGTGCTTAAAAGACTTCCTTTAGAATTCAGATCTCTTGAGCAGAGAAATACTTCGTAAACCTGGATATTCCAGCTGTAGTTGCTTGATAACCAAATGTGGTTACATAGTTATTTGAAAATTATAGGTAGTCTCCTGCTTAGAGGTAAAAGTAGGTATTGGTGTTTTCTAAAATGTTCTGCAAGTCAAACAAACAAACAAGAACAGTTGTGTGAAGTACTACCAGAAACCTCTTAGAAGGATTTCTCAAAGTTTGTGGATATCAGAGGTTCTCTGCTGTTACTCCCTAATAGTAGAGTACCTGACTTTACTTGTGGATTCAGCACAGTGCAGTGGTTAAGAGTGTAGACTCTGAGACCAAACTGGCTTTGAATTCTGGATCTACCAATACTAGCCTTGTACCCTTGGGCAAGTTACTTAATTTGGGGGGCCTCAGTTTCTTTGTTTGGAAAATTGGGGGGATGATAATACCTACTTCACAGTATTGTTGCAGAGTTGAAATGAGATTATATGTGACAGGGACTTAGAGCAGTGCCTAGTACATGGTACATGCCTTAAAAAAATGTTAGCTGCTATTCCTATTAATTTAGTCCTTAAAAATGCATTTTGGGTGCCAACCGAGTGCACTGAGATGATCGATACAGAATAATGGATAAAACACATACAGTCTCTGTCATCATGGAACAGAGCACATTATACCCAAGTTCACAGTAAAGGTCAGGAAGGTCAGTGCGGATATATTTCCAGGATCTTGCCCACTTCTTATGGCCCTGAGAGACTGGGGTGTGGCCTGCAAGGGGTTGACCATGCTTGGGAGTGGGGTGTTGATCTTCAGCTGGTATGCACTGGGGTCACATGATCTTGCCGGCTGTTTAAGACGGGCACTCATTTTGGTTGGTCTGTGTCTGACCCATGATGGCTGTTGATGTTTTAACTATCACTCTTGGCCATAGGTTGTTAGTGGACAGTGTGACAAGGGACCACAGACTCACAGTGTGCTGGTGCTGTTCTTGGTCCTGGTTGGCAGAGTGCTGCCCTGGTGCTGTTTTGGAGGGGCTCTGCAGCAGCCCCAGAAGCCCTTGAACCCATCAGGGACCCAGTGCTGTGAGCGAGAAATACCACAGCTGCTCCTGAGGGCAAGTGGGGACTAGCCAGAGGCAGGAAACCAGAACACCATGTTTCCTGCGTCAGTCAGAGCTGGAACCTTTTTGACTTGAAGATATACGTTGAGAGGCATGGGTTTACTTCCTGGAGCTGCAAACAGAAGTCCCTGCTCCTCAGCCTTTGCCCTCCCTTGCTCTGGGCATCCTACAGAGAGGTTCCAACCTGGCAGCCTGCCCTGCTAGCACCTGCCATCACGGAGCTGGCACAGAGCCTCCCGCAACTGGCTGTGGAGGAAAGAACCCTTCTATGATTGCTGCTGCAGGAACTTGGGCTCTTCCCTGCCTGGTCTGAGCGTGATTAGCACACCTCGTACTCTGGAATACTTCATACCAATTCGACAGCAGTCAGACCGAAAACCGATAATCCATTATCTTAATGGGCAACTGGCAATGGGCAATGGGCAATTTTATTCATTTTTAAACTACAGTTGACCCTTGAACAACTCGGGAGTTAGGGGCACCAACCCCCTTGCACAGACTAAAATCCACATATAGTTTTTGAATCCCTAAAAATGTAACTATTAACAACCTACTGTTGACCTTGATGGCCTTACCCATAACATAAACAGTTGGTTAACACATACTTTATATTTACATGTATTATATGTTATATTCTTACAATAAAGTAAGCCACAGAAAAGAAAATATTATTAGGAAAATTGTAAGTAGAGAAAATATATTTACTATTCATTAAGTGGAAGTGGAACATCATAAAGGTCATCCTCCTCGTTGTTGTCATGTTGAGTAGGCTGAGGAGGAGGAGGAAGAGGAGGGATTGGTCTTGCTGTCTCAGGGGTGGCAGAGGCAGAAGAAAATCTGTGTATAAGTGGACCCAAGCAGTTCAAACCCATGTTGTTCAAGGGTCAACTATATTGGAATATGAAGTAAATGAGGTTTTGTCTTTTATTAAAAAAAAAATACTTCCCCTGCACTTGTAAAATAAAGAAATGGCAAATAATGCCAATCATTTGTACATAGGAAGAATTGAGTTAAAAGAGGGAAAACCTTTTCTCTGTTCTACAGATGGCTTCCCAGGTACTCTAACTTCTCTGGTCTTGATTTCCCAGACTGGGTCCTCTTTTGTCACTAATGTGTCTCCATTACAGTTCCTAATGGAAACACAGACTTGAAAAATCAAAGCTTGGGCATTTATGGTCAAAGGGCATGGGCATGGATGGTTGATTTTCTAGGTAAAAAAATTGCCGTGTCTTCTTTGAGAAAGAAAGTATATTTTTGGAGATGGCTAACGTCAGCAGGCAGGAGGATCTCAGCAAGCCTGTCTCGGTTCATATAATTTCCAGCATTTCTGAGTTAGCGGCATATGATTTTTATTTTCTCCTCTTTTGCTTCTTGCTCTAATGACTGCTGATTATCTTGAAGCAGCTGCATTAATTGATGGTGTTTAACGACTCTACTTACAGTAAGTGATCGCAGTTGGCTTGGATAAGGATAGCGCATTCTTTTTCCTTGCTTTTTAGCTTGCGAAGTGTTTACTCTGCATGCTGAACGCCAGAAGGGGAGTCAGGAACTCCCTCACCTCAGTGCTAGCCCACTGCCCAATGCTCACACTCCCCTAGGACATCATGAGTGATCACAGCGTCAGTTCTGACTGCATTCTGATTGTCTGCTCATGGGCCTTTCTCCCCGGTGTGATGGGAGCCCCTGGAGGGCAGGGACAATACCCAGCTCCTCTCTGAAGCTCTAGCACAAGGGCTGGCGAGAAAAAGGCCTCAGTGAAAGTTCGGTGAATGAATGATGAGTGGTTGCAAAGCACATCAGTTATGATAGTGTTT